CGCGCCGCCCCCATGAGCCCCCCCCCCCCGGTTACTCTCGGAAACGATGGACACCGTTACTGTTGCGGTGCTGCAGGCCCTGCAACCATCAAAGGCCGCGACGAAGCGGCCGAGCTTGTTCGAGCAGTCTCTCCTGCCAGCCAGCATTGCCGACGGCGACTCGCAGCATCTGTCTGACCCTGCTCTCCCTCCGACGGTCCGGACGCTCTCAGCACGCAAATCGGCACGTCTGACTGAGATCCTCGTCAAGGAGATACAGGACCGGGTGCTCGGCCCAGACAAGGACCATCATGCAGACGACAAGCGGCACAGCGTGGCCACTCGGCCATCCGTCGGCGGCGAGATCCCCTCTCTCGCGCAGCGGAGGAGCGTCGGCAAGAGAGCGACGCATGCATCGCTCATCAGTGCAGCCACATCCCATGGGAAGCGGCAGTCGAGAGGGGACTCCCTTTGGGTGTCGCAGCGGGCCTCAGTCTCCTCCACTTTGGCAAGAGACGAGGCTCAGCCTGGCGAGGAGGGGAGCGGTGAAGATGCCCAAGGTGCCGAGGAGCGGCGGGTTGATGAGGTGGAGGCAGGCTCAAGCCGACTTTTTGAGATATTCGCTCAAGTGGCGGAGGAGACATCCACTGAATGCAGAGTGAGCCGGCAAGAGACATGGAGAGATGAAATCCGCAAGAGGCGTGTTTCTGTTTGTAGGAGCGGGGTGACCTTCTGCGGCAGCTGATGAACAGCCTCTCCCGGATGTTTGATGAGCTGATTATGTCGGTGCGATCGCTGAACAAGGAGAAGAGGGAGCTGTTGCAGGACCACAGCAGCAGAGCAGACGAGCTGGCGCGGACCAAGGAAATGTGCGACAACCTCTACTCCGTCAACCAGACTCTAAAGAAGGAGCGAGCGACAATGACCCTCACGCTCACCCGCGTGGAACAAAAGGCAGGCAGGCCACACGAGGCCACCCCTACCGGCGTTGAACTGTCTGTCATGCTTGTCTGTCTGTCTGTCTCGTGTGTGCAGTATGACGAGGGCCAGTGGGAGATAGGCGAGCTCATGGCCTCCCTACAGGCAGCAAGGGTATGCAGACAGCCATCTCCATCACATAAATATATGTGCATCCTCGTTCCTGTCTCGCCTCTGGGTTGGTTAGGAGGAGGCTCGCGGCTTGCAGGCGGCGCTCAACCTCTCCCTGGCAGAGAAGGAGGCCGCCCGACGAGCGGCCGTCGACGTCGGCACCGACCCACTGATGCCATTCAGCAGCTTCACCACATCCTTGGTGCCGCCAACCGCCACTCTCCCAGTGCTTGACGAGGCCATGCCGGACATCGTTCCACCGACATCGATGCCGTCCATTGAGATCCCCGCTTTCGTCAGCCCTGTATACGACACAGATGACGGCGAAGAGGAGCAGCAGCGGCCCACTTCTGGCGCACCAGAGGCTCCTATCGTCGATGCTGATCGCTCAGCGGGAGACCGCAAGGAGGATGTCCGAGAAGAGGCCCCAGGTATGCACGAGGACAGCACCATGGTGGAAGCACCCCCTGCTTCTGAGGACACCGTCAAGGAGACCCAGCAAAGGACTCTCGCCCATCAAGTGGTTGAAGCGATTGTGAGCCACGTGCTGGAGACACTTCCTCTGCCAGCAAAGCCTGCAGCTTTGGCCGATGGGGGAGCTCAGACAGCATCTGTGGAACTGCCATCGCTCCCCGACGGCAGTAGTGGGCTTATCGACGAGCGCAGGGGCAGCCCCGAGATTATTGCTGAGGCGCCGATCAGCCATGAAGAGGGAGAGGATGAACATCATGAGACAGCCGCGGCATCACATTTTGCCGCCGAGACACAGCGGGAGACTGAACCAGGCGTGGAGGCGGAGGCTGCCGCAGAGCAGCCAGCTGCCCCGGCGCGTGCAGAGCCCCCTCAGGTGGACCGGTTTGCTCCGAGAGTGCCAGCAGAGGTGCCAGCTATAGCTGCTGCTTCAGAAGATGCAGGAGACATATCCCCTGCGAGGGTTGAGAGGAGTCCTGTAAGGCGACCCATTTCCCACACACTTCCAGCAGGTATTGGTGGCGGGATAGATGTCGACGAGGCGGATGAGCTCTCGGCTGTTGGAACCGAACGACAAGCTATCAGCGAAGTCCAAGGGGAAGGGCGAGCCATCAGCGAGACTGAAGGGCAGGCTATCAGCGAGATGGAAGAATCTGCTGTAAGCGAGATGGAGGAAGCTGAGGAGGAGCATTGGGCGACTGAGCCCTCAATCCAGCCAGCCACCGCTGTGCCACCACTCAGCCTCCCGGCCGTCTCAGGGCGCCCCGCCCAAGCCACCGTCAAGCCACCTGCAGAGAAGAGGAGACCAACTGAAGAGGCCATCTCCCCTGATGAGAAGACCCGGGCCCTAGAGCGCGTCAAGAAACGTGTTAAGGAGCACTCGGTCAAGATCGTTGCCCACCCAGACGTTCCCAGCAGCAGCGCGCCCATGACCAGCCGTTCTGCTAACGAGAGCCTTCACGCAGCCCGTATGGGTTGGACGTCTCAGGGCTGGGACGACCTGGACATCGAGATGCAGTCGGAGACCATGAGGCGGCCGCTGAAGATCGAGGTGTCCATTGCGCGGGGGCCTGGGGTGCACAGCCAGTTCACGCTCCATCGGCCCTCGCGCGAAGAGGTCTGTGAGGCTTTCACGATGGCCACGCACAGGGGGGAGGGCGACACGGTCCCATCAGGGCAGCGAGCCCTTCCCGCCCTCCCCACCAACCTCACGACCGCAGCGGATCAGCTCTTCAGCTCGAGCCTGAGGAGTGGCCTTCACGTGTCGCCGAGGCCGAGCGCCCCGCCCTCCCCTGGCCGGACATCTGCTGGGGGGAAGGGGGAGATCTCGATGCTGAAGCTTGACAAATTGGTTGCTCTGATTAACCAAATCTTTGAAGCAAGAAGCAACCAGGAGGCCAGGTGAGGGCTGGGATGGGGGAGAAGGGGGAGTGCAATGATGCCTGACTGATGTCGTCGAAATAGGCTGCCCACTGCTCGCCCTCTCCCGCCCTTCGCCCAGTTCGTGGGTAAGTAAACAAAGGAACGGCAGACTGGTCGCCTGTCACAGTGGATATCTTTTGTGTGTATGATGGATGCAGGTAATTTCTTCAAGACGAAGCACGGGTCCCTCCCTGCTGTGCTCGAAGAGAAAATCAAACAGCTCAGGCAGTCTGTCCAGCAACACTGCCTCGCACCAAACGCTGTACGCCACCAAAACAAGTCAGTCTCCCGATTTCACACATGGAATGTGTTCCCTTCCTGTGTGCAGCACCCTGTGATAAGACACTTCCACGACTTTGTGGCTCGGTCGTCCACAGCCGAGGTGACGGTGTATCTGTGGCTGCGGCGGCTGGTGAGGCGGCTGGCCGTCAGCCCGCAGACCTTCACTGGGCCCCCGCCAGTGGAGAGCTTCAAGCCGGGCACCTCACACCCACACAAGGCCGTCTCGTCCGTCTGGGACAGCGAGAGCGGCAGCCCCACCTCATCCCCCGTCTCGCCCACGTCACCCGACCATGCCAATGAGCCACCCTCCCTGGCTCAGGTGACGGCAGACGCTCAGGAGATGATGCGAATCAAGGCCTTGGAATACGAAGCTGAGGGAAAGGGAGAGACACATGAGGGCGAGGCAGCAGCGGTTGGCACCGTGGTGCCGGTTGCGGCAGCGACGCGGGCAGTGGCCATCATGTTTGGGTCGACGCCCCTGCACGCCATCGTGCTTGGCATCCTGTCTGGCCATGGCCATGGCCACGCGCAGGGAGAGGCTGCGGGCGCTGGTGCGGGTGTGCCGCTGGATGTGGTGCTCGACTTGTGCATGGAGGGGTGGCGGGCCAGCAAGGCCGCTGATGACAGCGACGCATTCGAACTCGCCACCAGTGCATTCGCACGGGTAAGTAAGTCAGGAGGCACAAGGCATACGAGACAGACAGGGCCGATAGATACACACGAACGCGGTGAATGCCTTTGTCTGTCTCGTCCATAGGTCGATCGTTACAGCCGCGGTCTGCTGTCTCCTGGAGAGCTGATGCAGGCCCTCGCCATTCTGCCGGTGCAGCTAGTGCCGCCGCAGCCCTTGACGGAGTCCCACCACGACATGAGCCACTTCACGACTGCCGTCCAGGCAGCTATGGCCAAGATGCCGCCCGTCAGGGTGGCAGTCAAGGCCCCCGCAGCAGCAGGAGCAGTGGACAGCAGGGCGGCGGATGAGGTCATTGAGTGTCTGTTGGGGCTCTTCCAGCAGCTGACCCCCACACTGAACCACTTCCTTAACGCACTCGTACACAGCGAAAGGAGCGGCGACGTGGTATGGTATGCCCACAAACACCAACAGACAGACAGACAGGGAGAGACATGCTCACTCAGCTCACATCCACACACATACCATACCACATACAGGTGTTCTGCCGGGAGCTGTCCCGCCATTCGAGAGCCTTCACTTTGGCAGTAAGGGAGCGGGACGTCTGTGAGGCCCTGCGGAGCTTCCGCCAGCTGCTGATCAATCTGCTGGCCTTCCAGAGCGACCACCATGTGGAGGAGGGTGTGGTGCCGGTGAGGGATGAGGTCATGCGGGAGGCCTCTGGGCTGATATCGGTGTTGAAAGCCATGTGGCGCCAGAGCAGGGAGTGGGAGAGCAGTGGGAGGGGCGGCCGCACCATGGGGGCATACGATGAGGTGCTGGAGACGATGCCCAGATGAGATGATGGAGTAGCTATACTGTTGGCATAGTGGGTTTGGCTTTGGTGGCGCGGTGTGTGCAGTCCAGTGCACGTGTGTGCGTGTCGGTCATCGGTCAATGTCTGTCTGTCAATTACTGGTATGGTAGGTATATCCATCTTTGTATACGGCTCTCTCTTGAAGGATGCGCTGTGCTGTGTCTCGGCATGCGCACACGTAGAGTAGAGTCAATCACATTATGAACGAATTGCAGTCAGTCAGTGGATCGGATCGGTGGGCTTACAGGACAGAACCGCCACCGCCACCGCCACCACCAGCACTAGCGGCAGCAGCACTAATCTCTCCCCACGCCCATGTCATGTGTATGCCTCGAGTCCATCCATCCATCCATTCCATACGTAGCAAAATGGTTGATCGATTATGACAAGTTATGAAATCACCCTCTACACAACCATCCATCCATCCATCCAACTACACTTACACACACATGGGAAGAAAGAAACACTGGCGCATCGCGGAGTGAGTGTTATGTCCTGTTGTGATAGCCATGTCGAATGGAAAAAGACGACGAGAGCTGGGCGTGGCGTATTATGTGTGGGAGAGAGGAAGACCCTGCCCTGTACAGCAAGTGCATTCCCCCATGAAAACCGTCTGGCTGGCCGCCTTGTCTTACTCTCTTAGTCAACACTGTGTGTGTGTGGGCTATTCGGGCTCGATCAGTCACAGAAAAGATGGATGCCAATTCAGGAAGGAAGCGCAGAAAAGATCGATGTGGGGAGGGAGGTGCAACGACAAAGAAGGCAGGATACACGCAGCTGGCTGATCGACCGTACCGTAGCGTAGCAGCAAGCAAAAGTGTGTAGTACTTACCGGCACATCGATCATGTATTGACCCTCCCTCCCACTCATGTTATGTGAATGCAGAAAGCCAAGCAAGGAAGGAAGAGAGCTAGGCAGGCAGGCAGGCAGGCCAGCAGTTAGAACGCCTTGGTGAATGCCTCGCTGACGATGTGTCGCACTACGTGCTGCCCCTCCCCCTGCACATCGAGCTTCCCGTGCCACACGATGTTAGTGTGGGCCCTCAGAAACGACGGGAAGAACACCACATACCGCCGCCAGTGCAGCGTGTTGAGCCGCTGCAGCATCTGACGCACGTGTGCCGACCGCCCCGAGTCGTCCCACGTCCGGAACGGCTCGCGATCCCACACACGACACGCCAGGTCGAGACGCTCTGTCGGCACCTCCACTGGCCGGCCCTGCACATACCAACACACACAGCACAGAGAGAGGAGGAAGAGACCAATGCATTCATTGACAGCAGTCGTGTGCAGTGAAGGGGGCTCCACTGCACTGCATGTCTGTCCTTGGCGTACCGGCAGCATCTTGGCTTGCTCGGCGAGGTCCTTGGGTATGTCGTCGAGCAGTAGAGCGGTCCTGCATCCGACGAGGGGGTCGTTGGCGAGATTGCCGTAGGCCACCAGGTTGTTGAACCTCGCCATGGCCATGAGGCTCTTTGCCTCAGTGAGCGTCAGCAGCCGGTCATTGTTGACCAGCAAATCCGACCCGGTCCGCCGCTTCAGGATGTGGGCACCCACACGCACCGCGGGGCTGCACTCGCGAATCCCCACGTGGGGCGTCGCTATCGAGATGAAGTTCTTCAGCGACTTGTCGAGCAGGAAGCCGTTCCTCTCGAGACGCACCACACACGCTCGGGCGATGACGCCGCCGAACGAGTGGCCGATGAACGATATGGCGCTGTCGGGCAGCACGTGGTCCTGCACGAACAGCGCCAGCCGCGACGCACAGGCGTCGACGCCCTCGCTGGTGCGGCCGACGTTGACGCTGGGGATGAGGACACACACCTCCGGATGCCTGGCCTTGAGCTGGGCATGTACGTTGGTCCAGTCGGTCTCGTCCCCGTCCACACCATGCACCAGCACCACAAAGTGCCGGTGCACCAGGGCTCTCTTCCTAGGCCGCCTGATCTCCAGAAAGTCCGTTGTGAAGCCGCCGACATGCACAGGCTCGTACTGCTTGTCGACGTCCTCAACCCAGTCCCCAATCGTGCGCGACAGCGGCGCGTCTGAGCGGACCCGGTGCAGTACTGGCGGCTTGACGTCGCCGATTCTCGGGCCGCTGGTTGGGCTGGCGTCCTGGGAGTGGCTGCGCTCTGGGTCAGACGAGGGGGGCGAGGTGTGTGAGCCGGGGAGGGATGTGGTGGACTCTGAAGGGACGTGTGTGTGCTCGGCGATGTCGGCGTCGAGTTTGGCGCCCAGCTTCTCCACCTGATGAACACACAGCACAGCGGCACGTAAGTACCCTCCGTCATCACCATCTGTGTCAGTCAGAGGGGTGTGAATCAAATCACTGACCTCTGTGAGTGCCATTCGAGTGCGGCGTCGGCGTCTACAGGCGGCGCTACGCCAGTTCACAGCCACATTGCTGTTCCAACAACACGCCTTCGCCGCCTTGGCCTCCAGTGCGACAGTCAGCAACGAGAGCAGCACAGTAAGCAAGAGGGTGTACAAGACAAACGGACGGCCCGCCACTGTGCTGCTCCCAGAACTGTGGCGGGACAGACAACGAAGCTGCTGGCAGGCTCACAGCTATGGGTGTAGGGTTGTGGGGTCTAGGGTTTCTTGAACCCTGATTGATTCACGCCCCGCCACGTGCGTCAGATGCGGGCGAGCTGTTCTCTCCTCTGGATCTGCGTCATCAGCTGCGCATCTTTCCATCCCACTTGTGCCTCAGCCCCTTTCGACTTCCTGGGAACCTGCCTCTTCCCTTACGGGTACATCTTCAACGACACCAAGGTGGGCGGCCTGTCGGGCCTGGCATACCGGCCCGACACGGACCGTTTCTACGCCATCCCCGACGAGCGCCATGACCCTCATTTCCACCGCATCGCCATTGACGTACACAACGGCAAACTGGAGGATGGACGAGTCACGTTCGACCAGGTGGTGCGGCTCGGCGAGAGCGCCATCGGTGCATCTGGGCAGCATTTCGATCCTGAGGGTATTGGCTGGCTTGGCGACCGGCTGGCGGTGTCGACTGAGCCGCACTATGTGAGGGATCTGTCGTCGCCTCTGCAGTGGGTGCAGGGGCGGATTATCGAGGTGGACGAGGGCGGAGAGTGGCTGGACGACCTCACGTTGCCGCACTTGCTCACCAGCACAGGGGAGGGTGGCCCTGGCAACAATCTGGGCTTCGAAGGCCTGTCGGTACCCCGGCCCTTATCATCCACCAACACGACCAACACGACCTCCGGACACCCGCAGCAAGACAGCCCTTACCGCTCTATCTGGGCGTGTCCCGAGTCAGCTCTGGTCCAGGACGCAGTGGCGCAAGGCAGCGAGGCCTCCCTGCCCCAAAGCGCCCTGGCGGCCCTCTCGCACACGGCCAGCGGTGCCGACTATAAGGATGGGGACGTCCGCACTGCAGTCCGGCTGATGGAGTTCCGACAGCGGGACGACGGCGCAGGAGGAGAGTGGCAACTGAATGGCATGTGGCGGTACGACGTGTCGGCGGCGTCTGAGCTGAAGATGCCATCCGACGACAGGGTGATGCTGCAGGGCGTGACCGAGGTTGAGGTGCTCATGCCACCGGAGGGAGAAGGGGAGGGGGACGGGAGGCGGCCGATTGTCATGGTGCTTGAGCGGGCCTACACGCGACGGTGGAAGGCGGACGAGGACGGCGAGGAGCAGGGGAGGTACGGCATCCACCTGTACGCCGTCATGCCGCCGCTGCAGAGGGAGGGCAGGAGCATTGCCGACTGCTGGAGCCTGCTGCAGGACTGCTATGACGTCCCCGCACTGACCAAAGTGCACCTGATTGACTTCCAGACAGACCTCGCCGACAAACATGGTGTTGAGGTGAGTGAACCACAAACCCACAGAGAGAGAGCGTCGGGGGCTGGCTGGCCACGGCATCCATCGTACCTACCTTGTGTGTGGTCAGCTGGACAACTATGAAGGGATGGCGCTGGGGCCCGTTCTGCCCGACGGTCGGCGGACTCTGGTGCTGGTCAACGACGACAACTTCAACCCCAAGCAGATCGGCACGCAATTCATCGCACTCGCGTTCAGCCTGGAGGACATGTACGAGTACGTCGAGAGTGAGATCAAAAACAAGGCCATCTAATCTAGCCGGGCAGGCAGCGAAGAGAAGGAAGGTGCCCACTGACTGACAGCGAATGAATGTGATGCGATGTGATGTGATGTGAAGTGGCAAATAATGTGCATATAGCTAACAGGATGGATGCGATATATGCGTGATGAATGAGATTTTGGTAGGGGAGGGAGGTGTTTTGTCTGTGTTGTGTCTGTACAGATCGAGGGGAGGGAGGGAGGGAGGTGGGTGGGTGGGGAGATTGGTTTGGAGGCGCGGCATATCGTGCAGAACAATGCAATAAGACCCCAGCTGTGACACCAGCGCCCTTCCTCCTCCCCGAGATCTCGCGGCCAGCCTTTGCGGCCAAGAAGAAAACTGCCTGCGAGCTTAGAATGTTGGAAGGACCCCACGACCAACTGATTTGAGAGGGCTGATCTGCCTTGTCCACCTTGTGCATGATGCAAGGGAACGGCGTGGTTGGGATCCGCCGTGAAGACAAGACAGTCTGGGAGAGGAGGGCGCCACTGACGCCGCAACACGTCAAGCAGCTCAAGGATGAGGGAGTCACAGTGATCATCCAGCCATCCACAAAGCGCGCGTTCACTGACCATGAGTACGAAGCAGCCGGAGGAATCATCCGAGAGAATCTCTCCGGAGCAGCGACCATCATCGGTACATACGGGCACACACGCATAATCGATCACAGTGATGGGATCATTGGAAGGCAGGCAATTCATAATGAACGAATGAATCATTTTGTGCTTCGTTCATTCTTCACTGCTTCACTGCTTCATGTGTGTATGTGTGTATGTGTGTGTGCAGGTGTGAAGGAGGTGCCAGCGCACAAGCTGCTGCCTCACCGGACATACCTCTTCTTCAGCCACACCATCAAGGGTCAGCTGGACAACATGCCTTTGCTCGACAGCATCCTCGAGAAGCGCGTCCGGCTCCTCGACTACGAGTGCATCACTCAAGGCGGCCTTCGCGGCGGCCAAAGGCTGGTGGCCTTCGGATCTTATGCCGGCGTGGCCGGAATGATCGATTTCATGTGAGTGAGTGATTTGAGTGACAGCGCCACACACAGAGACGCAGATAGATGCCGATGGATGGATGGATGTTTTGACACATACATCATTCAGGCACGGTCTCGGCAAGCGCTACCTGATGTTTGGCTACGCGACGCCCTTTTTGCATGTGGCCCCGTCCTACACTTACGCCAGCGCCAAGGACGCCAAACAGGCCGTGGACCGCATCGCAGCCGACATCAGGCGATACGGACTTCCCGCCGACGTCTGCCCCATGACATTCGTGTACACAGACACTCTGCAGAGGGGCCTTCACACGTGCACATTGTGTGTATGGGATTGTTGCTGTGTGTCTGACAGGTTCACAGGGACAGGGAACGTGTCCAAGGGCGCCCAGGAGATCGTGCGTCTTCTCCCCCACTCTTTCATCGACCCCGAGCAGCTGCCCGCCCTGTTCGAGAGCCCCCCGGCCGACTGCACCACCCAGGTGTACGCTGTCCTCACCACAGCTCAGCACTTCGTGCAGCGGGCAGATGGCGGGCCATTTGACAAGGTCAGACACACATAGATACACAACCCAGCAAAGCCGGTCAGTCGACTGGTTTCGTTCCCTTTGTGTGTGTGCCCTTCCTTGTGCAGCAAGCGTACTATGCTCATCCCGAGCTGTATCGACCAGTGTTCCATTCCACCATCCTGCCTTTCACGAGTGTGCTCATCAATGGCATATACTGGGAGCGGCGTTATCCCCGCATTGTGTCCAACGAGCAGCTGCGACATCTCAATCGGCAGGGCGGAGGTCCGTTCGGCGGGCTCCGGCTTGTTGGTGTGTGCGACGTCACGTGTGACCTCGAAGGCAGTGTGGAGTGTCTCAAGAAGACCACACTCATCGACCAGCCATTCTTCGTCTACAACCCAGAGACCGAGGAGTGCATCGACGGTCGGCCCATCCATCCATCCATCCATCAACCCGTATACCTACCTGTCCATCTGTCCATGGCTGTGTTCAGGCGTCCGTGGCGACGGCATCTTGATGCTGGGTGTGGACCAATTGCCGACCGAGTTCGCCACCGACGCCACGCAGTACTTCGGTGACCGCCTGCTGCCCTTCATCAAGCCCCTGGCCTTCTCGGACGGCACCGTGCCATACGAGGCCATCACCGACCTCCCCGCCCCCCTCAAGGGCGCGTGCATCGCCATGGATGGCAAGCTGACGCCGTTGTTTGAGTATATTGCCAAGGAGCGGATGGTGACCGCGAGGGCGGCAGCTCAGAAGCAGCAGATGGACCACCGGCTAGACCTATCGGCGCCGCAGCTGGTGGTGGGGCTGGAGGGGCATCTGTTCGACAGCGGCCTCATTAACCACGCGCTTGACCTACTGGAGCAGTCGCATGTGCAGTTCTCCGTACTCGACTTCAGACTCGGTGAGGGAAAACGGTCTGTCTATCTGTCCGTGTGCATCGTACTGTCCATTGTGGCCTGTCTTGTTTGTTTTCTTCAGGTATGGACACTGCCAACAAGTCGTTTGTGGCCCTCTCCCTCGTCGCAGAGAGGAAAAGGCTCCTGGTCAGCCAACCGGCCCCGCCACGCCCAGCCAGCCACACTGGTGCCTCCCTCTGTGCTTCTGTCTGTGTGTTTGCCAGACTGACGTGGTGAAGGAGCTGACAGCGCTGGCGGGGACGTTCCCCTTCCGCAATGCCGAGGCGTCGGTGGTGCAGCTCAAGTACACGGGCGACCTCTCACGCAAACCCAAGAAACTCCTGCCGTCCAGACCGCCCTCTCAGCAGCTTCTCATGGATTATCCGTCGTCTGTCGCACACGAATTCTCGTACCACATCCTGCTGCTGGGCGCAGGTACATCCAATCCACACACAGAGAGAGACGCCACACACACACGAGCTTTTGCGGTGCGGTGCGGTGTGTGGACGTAGGCATGGTGGCTGGTCCGCTTGTGGAGTATCTGTTGCGCAAGGGGGACTACAAGATGACCATCTGCAGTGTGCTGCTCGACGAGGCGCAGGCGCTGGCGTCACGACACACCAAGGCCACGCCCATGCAGCTCGACCTCAGCGAGGAGGCCGGCATGGACCGACTCAAGACGCTCGTCTCCGCGGCAGACGTGTGCGTGTCGCTCGTCCCCGCCCACCTGCACCCACTGGTCGCAGACATCTGCATCCAGCAGAAGAAACACTTGGTGACGGCCAGCTATGTGTCGCCACAGATGCAAGCCCTGCATGGTGAGTCTAGTGTGTCAAAGGGATGTCCTGAGGACATAGCAATACCATCCCACTCGCTGCATGCGTGTCGATTGCGTCAGATCGTGCTGTGGGTGCGGGCGTGATGCTGGTCAACGAGGCTGGTCTTGATCCGGGCATCGATCACATGTCGGCCATGGCCCTCATCCACCGCCTCAGGCGGGACAAGCACACAATCGTCGGCTTCCGGTCCTACTGTGGCGGTTTGCCGTCACCTGAGGCGGCAGACAACCCACTGGGGTACAAGTTTTCGTGGAGTGCGAGAGGCGTCCTCACTGCATCCGTCGCACCGGCGAAATACCGCCTCAACGGACAGGTGAGACCACACGTGCACACAGGTGATGCGATCGTCTTCCTTGCCATGTCTGTGTGCCACAGGTGGTGGATGTGCCCGGCGAGTCGCTGCTGCTGTCTGCCCAGCCCGTGTCAGTCACTAGCGCCTTCAACCTGGAGATGCTGCCCAACCGTGACTCCATCTCCTACGAGTCGCTCTACGAGATCGAGAGCATCCCCACTATCATCAGAGGCACTCTCAGATACAGAGGCTTTTCCGACATACTCGCCGGGTGCGTCAAACTGGGCCTCATGGACGGCACTCCGAGACCAGACCTCACCCCCTCCCGCCCCCCCACACCGGCCCTGATCAAGCAGGCCAGCAGCGGCGTCAGCGACGCCGGCATGAGCCCTTCTGCCTCACCCGGCCTCACCTCCCACGACAGCGGCCATCCCCACCACACACACCCCGTGTGGGCAGACGTCATGCGCAACGTGCTGGGGCTGGAAGAGCGGACGGATCTGATGGACGAGGGCGAGAGGAACGCCGTGCTGGTGGATGAGGTGGGCAAGAGGGTGCGGGAGATGCTCGCCGGTGGCGACATCGATGGAGAGCGGCATGTGAGGGTGATGGGGGCGCTGGAGTGGCTGGGGCTGCTGTCTGAGGCGCAGCAGGTGCCGATGAGGGGGTCGTTGGTGGAGGCTTTCTGCGCGTGTCTGCAGCAGAAGCTGGCATATAGCGAGGGCGAGCGCGACATGGCACTCATGCAACACACCATCGAGTACCAAAGGTCCGTCGGTCAGCCAGGCAGCCTGTGCTGTGCTGTGACGGACAGACAGGCCAGAGGGGATTGTGTAGTCACTGTCTGTCTGTCTGTCTGTCTGTTCTGTAGGTGTGGTGACGGGGCGATGCGCCGTCTGCGGTCGACGCTATGTGTGTATGGCGACCAGCAGGCAACCGCCATGGCCAAGGTATGGTATGGTATGGCATCCACACAACGTACCGACCGTACCCACAAAAGAGAGACACACTTACGGATGGCTGGTGTGTGTATGTCTGCTAAATTATGTGTACGCAACTCAACTCGTGTCTGCTGCAGACAGTGGGGTTCACCGCTGCCATCTGCACCGATCTCATCCTTCAAGTGAGTGAGGGGGGCTTGGGGGGCTTGTGTGGTGAAGGAAGGACACCCATACATACTGACTGCATCGCTTATTGTGTCTGCCTGTGTATTCCTGAAGGGTCGGCTGAAGGCGAGTGGTGTGGTCCGGCCTGTGTGCAGCGAGGTCTATGTGCCGGCCCTAGAGGCGCTCAACAAGGAGGGCATCTCCTTCCACGAGAGGGACGAGCCGCTGCCCAGCCACTGAAGTCTCTCGCGACGTGGGCAATGGACTGTAGAGTAGAAGACAAGGTGGATGGATGGGCGACTGACACAGGAGGGAGGCGGAGAAGAGAGGAAAGGACGAGCAGCCACGTATGTATTTGTGGAACTCTGATCGCATCCATCGCATGTATCTATCTATCGCTGCTGTGTGTGTCTGTTGTGTGAGTGAGAGTGATAGATACTTGTACAGTCAGTATTAGTTCCTTCCTTGGTGTTTCCTCCTGTCCGTGCCGTGCCGTGCTGGTGTCTGTATGTCGTCTTTTTTGTGGCGTGTGTTCTGTGCATCTAGCTACCGATAGATCGGCAGACAGACAGAACTGCTAGAACGAACAGTGGAGATCGATCGCGTTATCCATACAAATGGCCTTGTGTGTGTCCTCGAACCTTGCCCCCTCCCTCCCTCCACCCATACATGCGGACAGACAGACATACACGCAACCCACAGTCCCCCTGTGTCTCAAGCACCCACAAACCGCCCGCCCCTCCCCCGCCCCACAAATGACATCACGCTACGCCCCAGTGCCGCCAGCGCGTGTGGGCGATCCACCCCCAGTGAGCTGAGACATCGGCGACGGGTCGGCGCTGCTCGACGAGTAGGAGAGCTGCTTCATGAACAACGACTCTCGTGACAGGTGCTTCGAGAACACCGCACTGACCCTCTTGTATGCCTCGCCCTGGCCCAGCGGGCTGAGGGCGTCCCCGAGCATGGTGTCCTCGGTCCCCGCTGGCCGGCGGCTGACGGAGGACCTGTCCTTGTCGGCAGGGGTCTGGAAGGAGGATGAGGACCCCTGCTTGGAAGGGGTCAAAGTGCTGAGCTGGAGAGAGGACCCCTTGGACCGAAGACGCTCGACACGCGACATGGGGCGGGAGGGAGAGGGGGACGGACCGCCTTGGTCACCTGCACACAGACAGACAGACCCACGGACATGCGAAGATAGGTGCGTCGAGCGGCTTGCGTGGCCAATTGGATCGATCAGTCTTTCATCGTGTAGGTACCGGCGGGGCCGCTTTCGTCCTTGACGCGGCTCCGTGACCGCCGCAGTGATTCGAGTCGAGACTCGAGTCGCGTCACCCCCCTCCCGACACTGGTGCCATCCTCTGGCTGAATGTCACCTGGCTGGGGACCTCCTTCCAGACCTGCACACACAACCATCCCACCCAGTGAGTGCCAAGGCATTCTCTATCAATCAATCAATCAATCTGTTGGGACTGTTGCCCGCCCTGCCCTCCGGCTGACCTTCATCGTCCTCCTCTCTCCCTTTCACCCCCCTCTGCCTCTCCTCCCGTGCCTTCAACCGAGCCTCGATGTCCACAAACGACCGCGACCCACCCAACTTAGACCCACCCTCATCGCCACCGCGGCCCTTGGCCCTCGCCGGTGATGGGGATGGGCGCGTAGGCGATTTGGGTGGCAGCCCGAGGGTCTTGAACAACTCCTGCGTCTTCTGTGAGCGCACCGGCCGCGCCGCCTCGCTCTCACCCCCTCCCCCTCCCCCTTTGCCCATCCTGGAGCCACTGCGTCTGAGGGAACTGGTGATGTCGTCCAGGATGCTCTGGCCGCTCACAGGGCCGCCTCCTCGAGATGGCTGGGGCAACAGGGAGGGCCGGTCGCCGCCCGCATTGGGCGACACGGGCCGTGAAGAGTGCATAGGGGATGCGGGGAGGGACGAGAACGACTGTTGGAGAGCGTCGGCCGCCCCTACCTTGCTCCTCGGCGGTGGGGGCGACACCGACCAGCCGGCGTTGGGCGACACGGGCATCGAAGCACCGATGCGGCTCGACAGCCTCTCGAGCGCCCCACCACTACCACCAGCACCGGCCGGCCGCTGTGTGGGCAGGGGTGTGGGCGCGAACTTGAGAGCAACGACAGGCGCCCGCAGGACGTCATGCCCGAGGGCCAGGAGGCCTTCTATCTTGTCGCGGAGCATCTGGCAGTTGTCGTCGAAGGGCGAGAAGAATGGGGGGAGGGGGAGGGGCTGAAGCAGCCGGGACTGACCGCCTTTGGCTGCCTGGGGGGCGAAAGAGCGGCTGTTGGGCGACACGGGGGCCGACGTCAGGGGCAGAAGAGGACGGGAAGGGGACTCGTCTGTAGGTCAGAAATCAACGCGACAACGCGCGCATGATCCTTCTGGGTGTATCTGGTATATCCGTGATGCCCTCCCTCACCTCTGGAGGTGGCCGTGGGCGAGACGGGCGTCGTCAGTCTGCCGGTCAGTGTCCGACTCAGCGATGTCCGCAGCTTATCCAGTGACGGCGACGCCTCTGCCTTGCCGGCACCACCGCCCCCGCCATTATTGCCTCCCTTGGCCTCCCTGCTTCTCCCCAGCATGCCCTGGAGCCGCGACAGCGCATCAGACCCCTTCTGCGGACTCTTCTCGGTGGCCGAGAAGCGGGACGATGAGTGGGCGAGGATGGACCGGACGGGCTGGGAGCCTCTGCTGTTGGCCTGGTGGTGGCCCTCGGGGGATGGCGGCATTGGTTGCCCACCGGTCTCCTTGGTGTTGAACCGCACGAACGATGGGCCTCGTGTGATGCTCGCGCGGCTCGGGGCTCTCAATGCACACATCGGACAGACAGCTGCCTGCCCAAAGCGATTGATTCTACACAGCCAAGTAGAGGCACCTGCATGCACACCAGGAGAGCGGAAATGCCGACAGAGAAGTGATACTTGCAGGAGTGCGTCGTTTCTCACCTTAAATGGACAGCAAACGATGGAGGACCAACATTCTCGCCATCATTATGCACGAGGGGGGGAGAGGACGCTTTCAGCAGTTGCGAGCTTAGACGAGTTGCGAGCTTAAAAGAGAGTGAGGGAGCGCCTCGCGAGCAAAGAAGCTCAAATCGGCAATTGCCCGCGGCCTCAGATCCCATCATCTGCTGGTTGACAGGAGCTGAGCTGCAGTGTGTGTGGCGATGGGCCAGGCGTTGTCGCGTATGTCGTCAGCTCAGCAGGGCGGCACCCAATGGCTGCCCATGTTCCTCATCTTCAGCACCGGCGTCACCCTGCTGGAGCAGTACCTCGAGTACAGACAGCTCAAAAGAGACTACGAGAAGAAGATACCGAAGGAACTCAAGGGCATTATCTCTGAGGAACGGTTCCACAAGGCGCAGGTGAGAGAGCAGAGCGAATGAGATGAGAGAATGGTGCATGGCTTGTTCGTTCGTTGTGTGAGTGTTTCTTGGTGTGTGGATGGACATCGATATGGATGTGTGTCATCATGTCATGGTCATCAGGCGTACAACGCCGAGAAGCGCGTGTTTGGGATGTACAAGTCGCTGTTTGACTTTGGGCTGCAGACGGTGTACCTGGTCTTCTTCGTCTACCCATGGATGTGGAGCCTCTCCGGCAGGTGCTTCGGCACCAACGAGTACGCACAGTCGCTGGGCTTCTGGCTCTTCCACACCGTCATCATGGAACTCATCGGCACGCCATGGTCACTGGTGCGTGCGTGTGGGGCACGGCAAGGCACACTGAGAGAGGCAGAGCCAGATGGATTGATGGATGGATGGATGATGTGTGTGTGTGTGAGGTCAGTATTACGACTTTGTGATAGAGGAGCGTCACGGGTTCAACAAGAAGACGATGGCGCTGTTTTGGATGGACAAGCTCAAGTCCAACGCCATCGCTGCCGTCATCGGTCCGCCCATCATATGCGCCATCATCTGGATCGTCCACAAGGGCGGCAAGAAAATGTTCCTGTGGGTAAGTCAAGTGTGCACCTCTAGCTAGGGACCGAGGCCCGCCCATACGTATGGGCACTTCCATGGTGTGGTGTGTGTGGTGTGGTGTGGTGTGTGTGCAGCTGTGGGGATTCACGATGTGCATATCGCTGGCGGCGCTGTTTATCTACCCCAACCTCATCGCCCCGCTCTTCAACAAGTACGAGGCGCTCAAGGATGACAAATTGCGCAAAGAAATCGAAGACCTGGTAAGGCAGGCCTACGGACACCCACACCACACACCCATCGTGAGAGAGAGACAGAGAGACAAATGTGTGCGATCGATCGTCAGGCGAGCGGGTTGAAGTTCCCCCTGGGGAAGCTGTACCAGGTGGACGGCTCCAAGCGGAGCAGCCACTCCAACGCCTACATGTACGGCTTCTGGTTCGAGAAGAGGATCGTACTCTTCGACACACTCCTCAACCTCTCACACGACAAAATACTCGCCATACTCGGTTAGCTCAGCCAGTCGCCCTCCTCCTAGGACCCTCTTGCAGACACACCCATACCTGCCTTTGTTTGGTGCATTGCCATCGCTGTGTGCACTGCAGCCCATGAATTGGGGCACTGGAAGCACGGCCACACATTGCAGATGATGCTGCAGGGGTTTGCCCACCAGTTCGTCATCTTTTACATCTACAGCGCCGTGGCGTGGAACGAGGGCCTCTTCCGCTCCTTCGGCTTCAACGACAAGAGCGTCCTCATCGGACTCACTCTCTTCTCCCTCATCTTCTCGCCTGTAAGAAAGAGCTGAGTGAGCAGCAGACAGACGAAGATGCATTGTGTGGGTGGATGGATGGTGTGGTTGGTGCACGGTGTGGTGCAGGTGAACGAGGTGATATCTCTGCTGCAGACGCTGCTGAGCCGCGTATATGAGTTCCAGGCGGACCGGTTCTCGGCCTCCCTGGGGTACGGCGACTCGCTCAAGGGGGGGCTCAAGGAAATCTCAGAGCAGAACCTCTCGTGCTTCAACCCTGACCCTTGGTAAGCAAGTCTTAAGCTGGGGGGGGGGGGGGGGGGG